ACAGCATTCCATTTGCGAGATTCGCACCACGTTCTGTAGTCTGCTAGCATCATTAGTAGCGACATGGGTCAGCACAACATTCTCTGTGGTAGTTTCCTAATGCTATTCTACTGTGTTACTGCATAGGCTAATCGGTACATTTTCCGAACAAATACGCACTCAGCAGTAACAACACTTGAAGAGGTGCCAAACTGGTGTGCCAAAAAGGTGTCCCAGTAAGCATGAGCAGAATAAACTCGGTAGACAATGTTTCGCAGCCGGCCAAGATCCAATCGGCTGTTTTGGAGTAGCTCTCTCCCGACTATGTACTTCACGACCGACCGGTTCCATCCTCATTTGGACTCGCCAGGACGAAACCGGTTTGTCGTGAAGTGTAATGCCGTGCTAGAACAGCTCCAAACCGCTACATTTCGTATGCAGTCCCAGTGTTCAAATTGGTAGGGGTTTGCTTCAAAGCGCCCCTTCTTCACAATCTAAATTGCATGTCCCAATCCAGACACATGTCGGGTGCTCAAAGACCCATAAGGAACCACACGGAAGACCTTACTGTCGCCATCCGGAAGCTTCAGAAGATATCAGCACAACTAGTCAAACACAGCTTGCCTGAGATTAACAGCCTCTTAAAGTGTAAAGCGCGCAACGTCTACTTCTGTACTGCAAGCTAGATAATGGACAATGTATGCAAATCTACGTCACAGTTTGACAGAAAGATCTTAACATTTTCGTAACCAACCAATGTTTTAAAAAACCCACGACATAACTTTAGCTACATGCTGTAACTCTAAGGGTGGTGTTAGAACGGATGGGTAGTAGAGTCGACCCACTGTTTACCTTGGATACGGCAGAATTTCGTAAACATTTTGGTACATGAACCGTTTCTTTTTTCATTACTGCAAACTCTAAGCGTGCAGGTGAGACCCGCATGCAAAGCAGTTGAACAGTTTAAAATGTTGCGCATTATCACTCGCAATAATGAACAACATAAGCGATTTGCGCTCACAGGCATTGGAAGTTTAATTTCAAATCCAACCCACAGTAAATAGTGTAGACTTGTAAAAATCGGTCATTCAACGTGAACTGACGAGCGCACAGTACCATAGCCTCATTCAGAGATCGAGGTATGTGTGAATTCAGGTATTTTTGTTAATCTTTGCAATCAAGCATAGCTACTGCACTCGATAGTGGGCCTGCTGGGTTAACATTAATATTGATCATGATACATACGAGCGCTTGACAGACGTGTTTACCAGAATCTGTATTCGACCGGATGTTCAGCGGTAGTCATGGAGACGTTCCGGGAGATTGGAAAGATTATCATCCCCTTGGGGCTTCACACTTATATCGATAGACCCTAACCCTTTCTGTGCAAGCTTGACATCGGAAGGCAATGCGTTGCTAAGTAACACGCAGGGAACAGTTAAAAATAACCAAAGCACCAGTTCGTTCTTATGATTAGTTTGTAGATGGTTGTAGTGTAAAAAGCAGTGAAACAATTCGGAGATAATCTGCCGGCAACCTCGCTTTCTGGTTCGATTCTCATCAGGGAATTGGGGCACTGCGTTCTGCAATGCATAACACAGGCGTTGCATTTTTTCACACCGGACTCTTTAGCTTTAGCTTTGTCTGTCTGAGCATATTTCCCAATTGGAGAGCGCTTATTTTGTAGACTTTTAAACAATGCAAAAAGACAAAAACGCACAACCTCCACTCGAAAGTTACAGGCCGAGTGCAAATCATCCGTTCTACTTAAAGCCAAATGGTATACGACAAAAGACAGATTTAAATCCAAAAGGGCGCACAAATACAAACAGCCAAACTGGACTGAACAAAGTTGCTATCACTCAGCAGCACAAGGTCCAAGACGGATTGCCAAGAGGAAGGAATTAACTACACTTTGTCCATGGGTCTTCAGCACAGAACAATTCGAAAGAATGGCATATTTATCGAGCTTTTCGAATAATCCTCGGTGTCTGTTTACTTGGGTCCAGTTATGAGAAGTTAACTGTAAATTCCTAGAGATGTTGCCGTCTTGTTGAAGTTGCGAATGATCAGAGAGGATCGGTTCTCATTTCTCACGTAGCAAATGCAATGGTGGTGTTATATCTCAGTGGTCATGAATTCGATCCTCCTTACATGACCGAGGGAATGCGCACCAATGACGCGCTCCAGTCGGGCGAAACGCGTCTGATGCTTTTCGGGACTAGGCTCTGCTATCTAGGTTGTGAACTAGTCGGACGAATAACATAACAAAATTCCTACTAAAATCCTGCTACTTACAAGTAAGAAAAAATGCAATGGCTTTGGTACGGTTTCCGCCCAATGCGGAAACGGAAACAATGATTTTGTATTAACCACTTGCTCAACGCAAATTGAAGATGCCAGCTAATAGCTGTAAACAGTTCAACCACTCTATTTCTCCGCAACACAAAACTCACTTGCAAACCTACGCATTTGAATGTGCAGGACTCTGATAACATCCTGT